TACAACTCTCTCCCAGATCTTCATCGTCTGGCTCATCAACTTAATTCCCCTGTAGTTGCTACAACTCTGTACTGTATATCACCCTTGATCTTAAAAATGGGCACCAGCACACTTCTTCTCCATTCCTCAGGCATTTTATCACCCTTATATATTCCACTGAATATTTGAGTTAAAAAAAAAACTCACTGCCATCTCTCCAAGATATTTCCAAACCTCCACTGGTAAGTCATCAGGTCCTACTGCCTTCTCCGTCTTCATTTTTTTCAGAGCTTTCCAGAATTCACCCTCGCTAATCTTTCCCACTTCCTGGTCCACAGTTTCTATGACCTCTACTCTTCTTTCTCTTTCACTCTCTTCATTCATTAGCTCCTCAAAGTACTCCTTCCATCTTCCCGTCACACTCTCCTCACTTGTTAGAACATTACCATTCCTATCCTATATAAGCCTAACCAGCTGCACATCCTTTCCAGCCTGATCCCTCTGTCTTGCCAACTGGTACAAATCCTTCTTGCCCTCTTTAGTGTCCAGTCTCCCATACAACTCATCATATGCTCTCTGCTTTGCCTTAGCTACTTCCCTCTTTGCTCTACGTCCCATCTCCTTATATTCCTGTCTCCTCTCTTCAATCCTCTCATTGTCATATTTCTTCTTGGTTAATCTCTTTCTTTGAACGACGTCCTGCACTTCACTATTCCACCACCAGGTTTCCTTATCATCCATTCTCTGTCCAGATGACACACCAATTACCTTCCTACCTGTCTCTCTAATTACTTTTATTGTAGTAGCCCAGTCATTTGGAAGCTCTTTCTTACTACCCAGAGCCTTTAACAGCTCCTCTCTGAATTTCTCACATTTTTCTTTCTTCAGCTTCCACCATTTGGTCTTCTTCTCTGATTTTACTCTTTTTCTCTTGTTCACAACAACAACACTCATTCTACACACAACCATTTGATGCTGTCTGGCCACACTCTCCCCTGCCACAACCTTACAGTCCCCAATCTCCCTCAGGTTTCCTCTTCTACACAGAATGCAGTTGACCTGCGTACTCCTTCCTCCACTCTTATAGTCACTCTATGTCACTCTAAGTTCCTCCTTCTTTTGGAAATAGGTATTGACTATAGCCATTTCCATTCTCTTGGCAAAATCCACCACTAACTGTCCTTCCTGGTTTCTTTCCTTGACACCAAACCTACCCATCACTTCCTCATCCCCACTGTTTCCTTCACCAACATGCCCATTCAGCTCTGCTCCGATCACCACTCTCTCCTCCCTGGGAGTACTCTCTATCACTTCATCCAGATCTTTCCAAAATGTATCTTTCTCCTCCTCATCACATCCAACCTGTGGAGCATAACCACTAACGATGGGGCAGCTGTGGCTGAGTGGTTAGAGCAGTCGTCCTCCAATGCGAGAGTTGGGGGTTTGAACCAACCAGCAGTCCCATGCTGAAGTGTCCCTGAGCAAGACACTGAACCCCTCATTGCCTCTGATGTGTGTCCCATCAGTGTATGAATGTGATAAAACACTGATTAGTCTCTTTAGAATGATTTGTTCAATTAGCTTTGTAGAGATCTAGTAGAGTGCTGTAGGAATGGGTAAATAAGGGCACAGATTGTAGTGTAAAACACTTTGAGTATCTTGAAATAAGATAGACAGGCACTATATAAGTACAGTTCATTTATCATTCCATTTACGAGGTTTAGCATCAGACCTTCTACTTCTACCTTCAGGCACATCACCCTATCTGACACTCTCTTCACCTCTACTACATTCTTTGCCAACTCCTCCTTTAGGACCACCCCTACTCCATTTCTCTTTCTATCCACGCCATGGTAAAACAGTTTGAACCCTGCTCCAATGCTGCAAGCCTTGCTGCCCTTCCACTTGGTCTCTTGGACACATAAAACATCTACCTTTCTTCTCTGCATCATGTCAGCCAGCTCTCTACCTTTGCCTGTCATTGTCCCCACATTTAGAGTTGCAACCCTCAGTCTTACATTCTTCACTTTCCTCTTCTCCCTCTGTCTCCTGACACGCTTCTCTCCTCGTGGTCTTCGACTGGCTGGTTTCTCAAAATCCTATTCTGTCCGACCATTTTTTAATAACCTTTGAGTTTACATTAAATGACTACACAGTCACGGAAAGTAAATTTCATCGCAGCAGGTGCTTATCAGAAAATGATGTAACCAAATTTAAACAGTCTCTTCCATCAATGTTTTCCTCTGTCTTGCAGAGTAATGCATCAGAGAACCGTGACTTAGATCATCTAGTTGATCATCTTACAACTTCAATGCAAACTTCACTTGATAAAATTGCTCCACTGAAAAAGAAAGTAATCAATCAGAGGAAACTGGCTCTTTGGTTCAATTTTGAGTTACTTACTTTAAAGCAGGCATCAAGAAACCAGGAGAGAAAATGGCACTCTACTAATGTTGAAGAATTTTATTTAACTTGGAAAGATAGTCTGCTAACATATAAAAAAAGCTCTCCGTAACGCTAGAACTTTATATTACTCATCTTTAATAGAGGAGAATAAAAATAACCCTAGGTTTCTGATTAGTACTATTGCTAGACTAATTAAAAGTCCCATTTTTGTTAAACCATGTATCCCTACAACTATAAGTAGTGATGACTTCATGAGATTCTTTATAAATAAAATTATTTCAATTAGAGAGAAAATTCAAACCATCCTTCCTTCTACTATCTCTAGTCCCCTGTCAAATGAGGCAACTTAAAAAATGTCACTAGAGCCTGATTTATGTTTGGACAGTTTGGACGGTCCTGTTGAGCTCTCTGAATTGTCAAAAATAACCTCATCCAAACCATCCACATGCCTGCTAGATCCCATCCCAACCAGACTGTTTAAAGAGTTATTTCCCCTAATTAATGTCCACATTTTGGATCTACTTAATTTGTCTTTAATGAATGCCAACAATTTTCAGTCAGGTCATCAGGACAGTTTCTTTTTTTGCTGAAACTTTTCACCTTCCATCTGGAAGGCTTCATCAGTCAAGGAAACATACAACACAAAAGTGTTTCTTCCCCCAAACATCTTACTACAAAGTGGAACAAACCAGTTACTGTATGTTGGTGCTAAGATGGTGTCTTTGGCACGCCCCCTCCTCAGTTACCGGCCCTCTTCCTCGTAGACAGTCATGTCAAACTGGTTTTGAACCAGTTTGACATGACTGTCAACCAAAGGGGCGGCTGTGGCTCAGTGGTTAGAGCAGTCGTCCTCCAATCGTCCTCCAGTGCAAGAGTTGGGGGTTCTAATCCACCAGCAGTTACATGCTGAAGTGTCCCAGGGCAATACACTGAACCCCTCATAGCCTCTGATGTGTGTCCCATCGGTGTATGAATGTGATAAAGTTCTGATTAGTGTCTTTAGAATTATTTCTTCAATTAGCTTTGTAGAGATCTAATAGAGTGCTGTATGAATGGGTAAATGAGGACACAGATTGTAGTATAAAGTGGTTTGAGTATCTTGATAAGATAGAATGGTGCTATACAAGTACAGTCCATTTATTTACCATTTACCAACATAACTGGTTTGTTCCACTTTGGAATAAGCTGTTTTGGGGAAGAATCAGTTTTGTGTTGTGTGTTTCCTTGACTGATGAAGCCTTCTGGATGGAAGGTGAAACATTTCAGCAAAAAAAAGAAGGTGTCCAGATGACCTGTCTGAAAATTGTTAGATTGTATAGCTGGATTATTGAGCATGGATTTTTTTTGTTTTGTTTTGTTTTTTGGTCTGCAATGAATGGTTATGTACCACAGAGCTTTAAGGTTGCTGTAATTAAACCTTTACTTAAGAAGTCTGACCTTGATTCAGAAATTCTGGCCAAATATAGACCTATATCTAACCTAACTTTCATCTCAAAAATTCTAGAGAAAATAGTTGCAGGTCAGTTGCGTGAACATCTACAAAGAAATAATCTGTTTGAAGAGTTTCAGTCAGGGTTTAGAGCTCATCATAGCACAGAAACAGCACTAGTAAAGATCACTAATGATCATCTCATGGCCTCAGACAATGGACTTGGGTCTATACTGGTCCTGTTAGACCTCAGTGCTGATACAGTACTGCCAGCCCTCTTCCTGTCGACGACGAAGAGGGCTGGCACCAGAGGAGGGGGCGTGCCAAAGAGACCATCTTAGCACCAACATAACTGGTTTGTTCCACTTTGGAGTAAGCTGTATGGGGGGAGAATCAGTTTTGTGTTGTGTGTGTTTCCTTGACTGATGAAGCCTTCTGGATGCAAGGTGAAACGTTTCAGAAAAAAAAAAAAAACTTCAGATGACCTGACTGAAAATTGTTTGTGTATTTATCCAAGCACTGAACCCTGAGAAACTCCATGACTAACTTTGGTGTATGATGAAGATTCATTATTTACATTTACAAATTGGAATCTATCAAATAAATATGATTTAAACCATTTTAGAGCTGTTTCTGTAATCCCAGTATCATATTCAAGCCTCTGTAGTAAAATATTGTGATCAACTGTATCAAATGCAGCACTGAGGTCTAACAGGACCAGTATAGACACAAGTCCATTATCAGAGGCTGTTTCAGTGCTATGATGAGCTCTGAACCCTGACTAATTCTAAACAGATATTTGAATTTTATGTAACTTGAGATTTTCACAAAATAATGTACTTTGCATTTTTATGTCATACTTTATACACACTGCAAAGAAAAATATACTTAGTGTTAAAAGTAAGATTTATTGGTTTTTTTTTTTTTTTCCCCACTAACTGAGCAGCTGACACGACTGCTACTTTGGCTGAAATAACATTTCTGACTTGACCCAAATCACAGCACTGGATTAGTTTTGAATGTAATATGTAAATGATCTCTGTCTGAACCGTGCCTGTAAGGTTAGAATTTTTTTCAATTCAAGAGATTTTAATCAAATGCAGGTTTTTAAATCCCTGATTAAAATTTGCTTCTTTTGAAAATGAATAGTTAAATAAAGAAACACAAACAAATGAGGTACTGTACATTAGTTTTAATATGCATATTTTGCATCACACAAACAAAATCACGATTTTAAAGTCCATATTTACATCATCTTCTTATTTGTACGCCTTCTGCTATAAATTAAGATGCCCTACAGACAGCCAGGACAAATATTCACAACAGAAGATACGTGTAACATTAAACACGAAGTTTATTTCTAGTCAAGTTCACGATGGTAAACAGGCAACAGGGGTCTGCATGGTGGGTCAACACACAGCTGAAGTCTTCTGCTAATAATAATTTAAAAAATCACTCCGACTTCATTACAACATCTTCTCCTCTTTTTCCCACGGAACTGGATCCTGCTCGTCCTCCACGTGCGTATTCCTGCGCCCCGTCCAAAAGTGCTCCACATCGGGGAAGGTTGTCTCCTTGTCTTGAGACAGCGCATTGGCCACGTCGTTTGCTCCCACCTCAGCGCCGTTCCCACCAGTTTGCGGGCACTTTTTGGAGGGCTTCTCACTCCTGCAGGTGGCCATGAGCCACACTGAGACCAATCCTTGGCGCACGTCGTCGTACATGGTCATGAGGATGACCGGAGACAGAGCGCTGCACGCGTAAAGGAGCACTTGCGCCAACATCATCAAGCCCACGGGTGGTTTGTTGTAGCCGAGTCGGATCCAGGTGAAGGTCCCCCATTCTGGCAGCAGCATGAGCCCCAGGGCGCCACTTTGGCACAGTAAAACCAGGAGCACCTTGCTCTGATGCTGCGGGCTGGGCGCGTGGTTCACGGCGGTGTACAGGGTCTTGGTGTAGAAGGCGACTGTCAGGATGACGGGCGCTGCGAACGTAACAGTTGGGTAAATCTTATAGAACAAACTCATAAAGTCAGAGGCGCACGCGGGCATCTCAGATACGCAGACTGCGTCGCTGCCGTGCGGCAACAAGGAGGCGAAAAGCATCTGCGGGACCGGAAACATCATGGAGACGATCCAGATGAACGCCAGGGCTCCGTGGATCCACGTCGGGCTGGACAAGGAGCCCGAGGGGACCAGAGTGTGTTTGGCTCTTGTGGTGGACAAGAGAATTAAAGTTTTTGCCACCATGCAGGAGTGCTGGAACCAGTCCGTGGTGCGGCACACAAAACTCCCCATCGTCCAGGTCTGCTTGTAATAGGTGACGGCGCGCACGGGGGCGCACAGCAACAGGATCACCAAGTCCGTGGAGGCCAGGGAGGAGAGCAGCGCCTTCACCTCCGAGCCCCATCCGCTCCTGAAGTCCCGGATGAAAATCAGAAGAATCAACAGATTTCCCACCGTTCCGGACACGCAGATCCCAATCAGGATGACGGGCATGACGGTTCTGGTGTCCTCTCCCTGGAGAAGCTGGATCCCTCCAATAAAATCGAAAAAAGTCACGTTTGCTCGTCGATCAATATCCATTTCCTTAAAAGTGACTTAACTGTTTAGATTCTTTAAGAAATTCAAACTGAAATCCTGAAGTGAGAGTCCGGCGCGCGGTGGAGCTGAGCGCGTGTGAGCAACCTGCCAGGTTTAAAGGCCTCGTCAAGTATCACGTCACTTCATCACAGAAATGTGTCACCAAGTCAGCTGACTCTCCTGCTGTACAGTAGGTTCACTGGATGAACACATTTGAAATGTAAAAAAATAAAATAAAACGAACTATAGAGATGGAAAAGTCTAACTGCTCCCGTTTTACCGTAAAACAGTCCAGCAAATAACATTCAACTGACGTTCTTTTGCTTCGTCTGTTAAACAATAAAACTATTTTAATTAATTTATTTAAATTAGGCCAACTGTTTGAAAGTTTTTCTAAGCGTGTATAAAGTAAAATATGTCTTTAAAATACTAACAAAGCTCTACTAAAGCCTCCAGCTAAAAAAAAAATCATTAATTAAAAAAGATTCTGATCTGGGGCTGATGAATGGAAGCCATGATGACAACAGGGAACAGGTGAGAGTGGGCAGGAGCTGAAAAAGCAGAAGTGGCTGAAATCGGAGGAGAACTCAAATAGGATCAGAGTGAACCAAACACAAAAAACAACAAAATAAACTTCACTCAGAAAGCACAGTTATGCCTAATCAGCCATATGGCCCTGAAATGAGGAAATATCCAGTGAGAGACATTTTTGTAGACAAAAAAAAAAGTCTTATTAATGACAGAGGTCAGAGAAGAATGGGAAGACTGGTTACAAAGGTCTGCAGAAATCTTTGAACACACAACACGTCCAACCTGGAAACAGATGAGAGACTGCCACTGACCTTCAAAAGACCAAACAAGGTCTGTCTGTCCATCCATCCATCCATCCATCCATCCATCCATCCATCCATCCATCC